AGTAAAAATGGGTTACACAGACTGATTTAAATGCCAAACTCTCTTAAAAAGATTAAATATTTATAATATAACCACAGAATTTATAAAAATGTCTTTGGTTTGGCCCATTTAAGTGAGTGCCATGCAAAATTCAAACCACAAATATCATGTGTTACTTTATTCTCTCCTACACTGAAATGATACCAATACAGAGCATTCTGAGCAATTCAAAAGAGCGATTTCGAAGCAAAATATACTTTGCAGTGAAGAACTATTTGTACTTTCAAGACGTTCACCTACTGCAGCCAAAGATATTCTCTGTGAATACACACCAGCTATTCTCATTTCAAAACTCGAGTTTGCTAAAGCTGTTCCGTACAGGGATATACTCTGCACTTGACTGGTAATTCAGGATGACAACTCTCTACAGAATCTCTCGGTTTCAGCAAGTTTTCGGTTATGTCAGCTAATCCTTTCTATGGATGCCCTAGTGGGTAGTTTCAGTTCAGTCACCACCGAGTCAGTTTTCATAGGTTGATCCAACCCTAAAATTAAAACCCCAAATCAACTGTTCTGAAATCAGTGGATTTAAAACAGATGGAGACAAATGTTTCCTCCTATTTTTCCTATTTTGCACAGACTCATTCTGTCCTCTCAGAAGTCAATTTGAGAGCAGTAGTAAGCCTACAGTCCTTATGGGCATGCTTTGTTCAAGCTCATAAAGTTGTACAATTCTGCCTCTTACTAACCTATTGATTGTGCTAAAGCTGAATGGCTGGCTCCAGTGTGATACGAGTGCGGATAATTGTTTCATTTCGTTGGAATTACAGAAAGACTGAAGTGAGTCACACTGAAAAGTCAGTCAGTTTGTGATATAAATTTATGTTCTGACCTCACATCATGCAGCAAAATTTAAAATCAACCAATGCCATTTACAATACATTTTACTTTCAAAAACAGGATATTCTGAAAACAAAACGTAAGGCTGAACTTGGATTTATCAAAAATGAATTGAAACAAAAAAGTGGGCATCCTATAACAGATGGAGTCGAATTTGCAGTTGATTGTGGAGTCTTTTTGACCGAAAAACCGAAAAGGGTTAGCATGTGCTATTAGCCTGTTTTGGCCTTGGTAAAAATAAATAAAATAAATGAATAAATAAATAAAAATAAAAAGTTAATTGGTTAACAGCAAGTTCCCTTACTATACACAGAATGGTACAGATTTTGGAAGTAAAAACAAACAGTCATCTTATAATTTACAGAGAAAAACCATAAACTGACATTCCCACAATTTTACATTTGATGGTATTCTGTTTAAATAATTATGTTTCTTGATAGTTTTTGCTTTTAATTATATACATTTACGTTTTATGTTTCATCTTTTGTTGTTAAATTTGTGCTTTCTGCATAATTTTAGTGTCACGTGATGAACTAATCATGTGTCTCTTTTATTATGTACTGTATTTTTATATAAGTACATCATTATATATACAGTATATTAGTACAAAATAAATGGTATTACTTTAGATAGAATATTAACACTATATCAGTAAAACATACCTTTTATATTTTAAATTTGAGTTTGAGTTCTGTAAAACCTAAACTGTTTCTATACCATATTTTTACGTAAATTTCACGGGTTTATTTTTTACAGTAAAACATCAAAAACGAATTATGAAGAAAGATGAATTGTAGACCAGCAATGTTTTTGTGACTTTAACTTACTTGCTATCTAGTTATTAGCAGCTTTCGATAAGACTCTTGCTGGCACTAACCATAAACTGGGTCTCTCATGAATACCTATCAAAAAGCAGATGACTATATGCTTAGCAACCCTCTCCAGAGTAAAGATAAGCTTGGTCCTCCTAACCCTCATGTACATATGATGTGAACGAACAGCCCAGGTTGATGAAAGAGAAGTAAATCGTCAGATCTGAAGGCTAAAGTCTTTACACGTCTCTGCTGTCAGAGAGACCCAGCACTCATTAAAATCAATTGCTAGAGAGCAGTAAATGCGAGACCATGTGTCATGCAGGTTGAATGCAGACCTCATGGGCCGGTGGAATGGCAGTGTGCCACCCTCAACTGCTGATCCAGGGAGAACAAAACTCCTGGACTGAAGACAGAACCCTTCATGCATTTACATGCCGTTCTGTCTCCCAGCACAAACTGACGTGACATGAATACATATTGCATGCACTTGGATAACTTCTGTTCTGCTATGTCAGCCTACAGTAATTCAGACACAAAGGTGGCAGTGGGACAAAAAGTATAGTTTTGAATGTGGCTAGATTTGTACTATTATTTGAGTATTATTGACCACAAGATTGGTGATACAAAAAAATGACTGGAAACGAAAGTGTGTTTACAGCCTGACACAACTGCATTTTTCTCTATGCTACTTCAATAGAATGTCACCTACAGTATATATATATATATATATGTGTGTGTGTGTGTGTATTTTGTATATATGTACTTTAGGCTTAAGGGAAATGTCCATAAACTTAACGGATAATGTCCTGGCAGAAAATTACCAGTACCTTTTCTGTTTCTTCTATGGATTTTTTTCTTACACTGTAGAGCACGTCATTAGCAATGGCACAGTAATGGGTATAAAAAAAAAAATGTGTAACATAAATGGAATTTGAGTTGCTTCAGATAAATGTAGTGGTAAAATATGTTTTAAAATCGAACCTCTTACAGTATCATCAGATCTTATTACATTTGGCAGACACTTTTATCCAGTTTCTGCAGGTTTTATAAAGGTATGTCTTCTATAAGCAATGCTTCAGGGTTTGAAAATATAACTTCCAATAGATCTCCATTACTTTCTAATTTATTTTACGAAAAAAAAAAAAAAAAACATGAAGCGAGTCCCCTGTTCCGCCATGGCCTCCCGAGTCCCCGGCTCCACCATGGCAACCTGAGCCCCCTGTTCCGCCATGGCCTCCTGAGCCCCCTGATCCGCCATGGCAACCCGAGTCCCCTGTTCCGCCATTGCCTCCCGAATCTCCGCCTCGGGCTCCTCCACCGCCTGCTCCGCCGCCATTGGACGATCCTCCTCCTAGTCCCCCTCCGCCCCTCCCTCTGTTTCTACGGTGCGAGGACGCACCTTCCGGGAGGGGGGAGTACTGTAACGCCCCTGTGGACTGTTTGTTGTGGTTTCTTCCCTTTGTGTTGGTTTAGCCCGTCTAATCATTAGTTAATCACCGTCATTGTGCTCACCTGTCTGCCTCTAATTATTCACCCCATATTAGTTCCTGTCTGTCTGAGCATTGGTGTCGGTTATTGTTAATGTTACCCCGAGTGTGTGTCTCACCTACCTGAACCTGCCTTGTTGTGTCTACAATAAATGTCATTATTGGAATCCGTGTCGTCCTCGTCGTCCTGCCTGCCTCCACACACCCGTTTCCGTGACAGATAGTGATCCTGACAGAAATAATTTTTACTGTACTGCTATTCACACCGCAAAAAAAAAAAAAAAAAGAAAAGAAAAAAAAGACGTTATTGTCAGTATTATAAGTCAGTATTTTGGTTGCTTTTAAGTGCAAATGTCTAAAGATTCTTAAATCAAGATATATTTACTTGAGAGGCAAAATGGCATAAAATAGGAAGTCTTGGTTTATGAGAAAATTATCAAAGTGAAGTGAGTTTATGATTAAAACAAGAACAAATATCTGCCAGTGGGCTCAGAAAAATCTACTTAATTCAAAGGGAAAACAAGTTTTCATTCCCCATTGACAAAAGTTTGTTCTTGTTTTAAGCATGAACACAGTTAATTTTGTTCAGTTTTATGACTTATGGCTTCATGATTTGTTCAAAACTTCAAGACTTCATATGTTTAATTTGCATCTCAAGTATCTTGTATCTTGATGTATCAAATATAATGTATCTTGACTCAAGGAGGTTTAGATTTTTGTATTGGAAAACAAAATACTGAGTAAGATGTTCAGTTTTTTGCAGTGCATGCAACACTTGATGCCACGAATTTAAGACTTTCTGCTCTGATTTAATATAATTATATCACGTCACAAATAACGTTTAGATCTGAAAGCTCATTGTTACTGAAGGGCCATATTTCTGCTTTACATTTGTGTTAATTCACCAAATGAATTACCAATGAAGAAAGCTATAACATGAGCAATTCGGTCAAAAAAGACATGGATCTTTTTGCACTTGTTTAAATCCTGTTAGTGCACTAATTCTATATACATTATAAAAAATCTGTTATACTTTACATTTGTTAGTCACTTTGGGAAAAAGCATTTGCTAAATGAATATGTACAGTAAGTGGCGCAATGCAAAGTTGTTCATTAACACTGAAACATATTAAAATTAATGCATATGCAGATTCTTTTTTTTCTAAACTTACAACACAATATCATGACAATGAATGTTCATCTTATGCAAAATCAATGCATTATTTCCACTATTTCCCCTGATTTAATGGTATGTTCAGTGTCAGTGTCTGTATATTATAGGATCGAATTAGCTGGCTGCTCTTGAAGGGATACTGTATGTGTGATTTTAAGCACTTGTCTTTTGCTAAATTCAAATTACATACTCATTAACAAAAGTAAGTCTGACACAACCTAACATTGTGTTGCAATAATAAGGTTTGACCAATCAGTGGAGAGATACACGACGTCTCACATAGTCACACTGCGGGGCGCTAACAAGCAGTCTGATGACTGATGAATGTGAGTTGCGGATGCAATCAGAACTTATTATCTGCTTTGTCAAATTCCTGTATTCTCATGGCCCTAATGGAGTCCTTTTGTTATAACGATCTGACCCATTGTCCTTTTCTTGGCGGCTGTCCTACTTGCATGTCTTGCCAACAAAGAGAGCAGTCGTCATTGAGAGTATTTATAAAAGAAACTGGATGACAGTGAGAACTAATTTACCAGATTTTCAGTTCAGCTTGTGTTAGAGGTTATCCTCCAAATGTCCCTTTTTGTGACCAGTATGCAGTCCGTGATTTCCTGTTCCCGATTCTCTCCTTATTTTTTCTCAAAGGGGCGACCAAAGACATGGGGAAAATGCTGGGGGGCGAGGAGGAGAAGGACCCTGATGCCGACAGAAAGGAGGAAGAAAGACAGGAAGCCCTCAGGCAACAGGAGGAGGAGAGGAAGGCAAAGTATGCAAAAATGGAAGCGGAGAGGGAATCGGTTCGACAGGGCATCAGGGACAAGGTAAATGTACCGTGAAATAATTATTCACTGTTATGAGGTGTCAAAATGTTTATATGATCACTTATGATAATCTAGGCCAGGGTGATTATCATTAACATTCACTTAAATAACATAAAAAGAAAACTTAAACTTATTTTATTTCAGCTAGTTGCCATGGCAGCCTTTCTCATTTTCATTTAGCTTAAGTTGAAGTACTAAAATATCTAAAACTAAACTAAAACTAATAAACAAAAAAATATTATATTATATTATATTTATTATGTTATATTTACACATTTAAAATCTAATACAAATTACAAAAACTAAAATTTAAAATATAGAAGAAAATATAACAATTAAATCTAATTAAAAATATTAACAAAAACTATAATAATACATCATTGATAATAAAATAATAATACAATTTCAAACTTCTACAGTGTTTTCAAAGTTCTACAGTGCAAAAAATGATTTTCCTACTTAGTAATTTAGTCTTGACTTCCAATGAAAAAATCTAAACATTTTCAAATAAGGATACATTTAGGCCCAATCCCAATTCTACCCCTTAGCCCTTCCCCTTTCCCCTACCCCTCTGTTTCGTGCGTTCACGTGAAGGGGTAGGGGTGTCTCAATTCTCTTTTGGTTGGAGGGGTAGGGGT